GGCTTTGGCCGGAAGACCGATAAAGCCATGGCGGCAGTGCAAACTAGGGTATGTGCCGCGTTTGCGCCCGTTTCGGCGGCTTGGGCCGCAGTGGATGCTGGGCGACCAGCCAAGGAGATCACGCAGCTCCTGCAGGTCGCCGCGGCAGTGTCTTTGGTGGGTGATGCCGCTAATAGCATCTCGGTCATGCGGCGGGGCAGCTCCCCAACAAGTGCCCGTCCAGCCTCCTCCGGGAAATGGCCCCGGCTGGGAACTTGTTGTTCGGCGAGGACTTTACCAGACAATACAAGAAGCGGACTCAAGAAATTGACGCTTTTCGCCGCTCGTCTGGCTCGTCCAAGCCGAAGCCGGCATACAAGGTCAAGGATAGTCGGCCTTCCAACTTCAGGGGCCATAATTATTACCCAGCAAGTGCTGGTGGGCGTCGTGGGGGCCACCGCTCATTTCCCCGCCATGACAACCATAGGCGAGAGGGTCATTTTTCCGCCACTGCCAGTTCAAAAAGCGGGCGTGGAGGCAATCGGCCCTTTCGGGGGCGCGGTCAGGGTCATTGATGACCCTGCCGGTGGATGGTTCGCGTTCCCAGCTCAACGTACATCTTCGCGGCCATCCAAGTCCACCCCACAACGAGCTGGCGCGCGCTCCGCTCGTGCCCCCGCTCCCCCAAATTCCGGTCGCTGGGCGTTTGAGGCATTTTGTGCAAGCCTGGTCGGCAATCACGTCGGACCCGTGGGTCTTGGATGCGGTGCGGGGCCTGAAGCTGGATCTCGTGGCCGATCCCGCACAAAGCACGGAGCCCAGGGAATTATCTCTGGAGGAGGACAGAGCGCTCGCTGTGCGGCTCGAAGTGGACGAATTGGTGCTGAAAGGGGCCGTCACTCGAGTGCAGGAGTGTCCTCGTCAGCCAGATTTTCACCTTTCCAAAGAAGGATTCCGGCAAGGAACGTCCCGTGGTGAATTTGAAAGCGCTGAACGGGTTCGTGCGCTACGAGCACTTCAAGATGGAAGGATTGAAGCTGCTACCCGATCTCCTTCAGCCCAACGACTGGCTGGTCAAATTGGACCTGAAGGATGCTTATTTCGTGGTGCCAATCCACCACGATTTCAGGAGACTGCTCCGATTTCGGTGGTCAGGTCAGGTCAGCTGTTCCAATTTCAGTGCTTGCCTTTCGGCCTGAGCAGCGCGCCAAGGGTGTTCACTCTCATGAAGGTTCCGATGGCCATTCTGCACAGCCAAGGTGTGCGCCTGATTATCTATCTGGACGACCTGCTGATTATGGCATCGTCGGCGGCGGAAGCACTGGAGCACTTGCGCCGGGCAATTCAGTTGTTACATCAACTGGGATTTCTCATCAACTTCAAGAAGTCGGTGTTGACTCCTGCCCAGAACATCTCATTCTTGGGCTTCGAAGTGGACTCTCGTGCCATGGAGATGCGGGTGCCTCCGGAGAAGATCGGGAAGCTTCGCCAGGAGTGCACCAAGCTTCTGCTGCAGCCACGGGTGACTGTTCGCACGTTAGCCTGTCTGTTGGGGCGCTTGACATCCCTTTCTCCGGGTCTGCTAACAGCGCCGCTCCGTTACCGGCATCTGCAGGAGCTCAAGATCCTAGCTCTTCGCGAGTCCCAGTCTAACGAGGCGACCCGGTCCAGTGGACACCCGATGCCAGGCTGGATTTACAGTGGTGGAAAGAGTGACCGTGCGACTGGAACGGCAAGTCATTGGTTCGCCCACCCTGCAATCTGGTGGTGTTCTCGGATGCCTCCCTTGATGGCTGGAGAGCAGTGTGCAGGGATCAACAGGTGGGCGGCCGGTGGACTCGGGCGGAGCATTCCATGCACATCAATGCCCTCGAGTTGACAGCAGCGTTTCTGGCACTTCAGGCCTTCAACCGGGTGGCGTTGGACCGTCCGCTTCATGTTTGCCTGTTTGTGGACAATACCACTTGCCAGGCTTACCTCAACAAGATGGGCGGCACACATGCCCCGCACTTGTCCCAGCTGGCCTGCCAGGTGTGGGAGTGGTGTCTGGAACGTGGCATCACAGTTCAAGCCCAGTACATACCGTCGGTGGAGAACCCGGCCGATGCCCCGTCCCGTCAGGTGGTCGATTCGAGCGACTGGATGCTCGATCCAGTAGTGTTCCGGGGCCTTTGCCAACACTTCCAGGTGCAGCCAGCGATCGACCTGTTTGCGTCACGGACCAATGCCCAGTTGGACAGCTTTGTGTCCTGGGGGCCTCAACCCGGAGCACTGGATGTGGATGCTCTTGCCATATCATGGGCCGATCAATGCCTGTGTGCGTTTCCACCCTTTGCTCTCTTGCCGAGGGTTCTGCACAAAGTGCGCCAGTCCCCGGGGTGCAGCCTGAGTGTTGCTGGTGGCGCCAGTGTGGGATGCGCAGCCATGGTATCCGCTCCTGCTCCATCTTCTGGTAGCATGTCCAGTTCTATTACCGGGCCATCCAGCGCTCCTCACCTCACTGCTGGATCAACCTCATCCCATGGTGCTGGGCGGTCATCTCCAACTAGCCGGCTGGCTCATCTCTCCCGATCCTATGCGGCGGCAGGCCTTTCATCAGGCACTATTGCCCTCATCCTGGGACCATGGCGGGACTCCACCAACTCAGCCTATTTGTCAGCATGGACAGCTTGGCACAGTTGGTGTTCTGAACGGCGGATTGATTCCTTTCAGCCGCCTGTGTCACAAGTATTGCAGTTTCTAACTGATATGTTTGCCGTGGGCCGAAGTTACCGCACGTTGAGTGTGTATCGCTCTGCCCTGTCCTCCACTTTACCAGGCGTAGATGGTGCGCCAGTTGGCCAACATCCCCTAGTGGTTCGGCTTATGCGTGGCATCTTCCAACAGCGTCCTCCACAACCCCGGTATTCCCATACAGTCGGCCTCGTATAACTGCACACATCCGTTTTCCACAAAAATATCCGGATAGGCAAGGGAACCGGATAAGCGAACACACATACTGTATATATGCATGACATATGCTGTAAATCGGTAACCAACGATTTTCTTCCGGATGGCGAGGGATCCGGATAAACGAGGTCTGACTGTACTTGGAAAGTTTCCGATGTCTTGGGTTGGATGGATGGTCTGGGTGACAATTCTACCCTCTCTCTCTCTGCGCCTGCTTTCGATAAAGCTGGCTCTGCTCATGGCGCTGACTGGAGCCAAGCGCTCTTCTGATGTGCATCGTTTGGATTTCCATTCCCATGTTACTGAGGGTGATGGGTCTCTCCGTGTGACGTATGCCTCCATGCCTAAGCAGCGTCGGCCTGGTTGCCGAGGGGATGCGTCCCTTCCCACCGTGGTGTGGCCTGTCTTCGACAGCACGCCACGCTTGTGCGTATCAAGCTGCTTCCAGAAGTATGTCAGGCGCACAGCTCCTCACCGTCAGACTGCTCATCCGCAGATTTTCCTCAGCCTGCGGCAGCCTTTCAAGCCGGTGACATCGTCCTCTATAGCCAGGTCACGGGATAAAGGATGGTATGACTGCGGCCGGAGTGGACACAGCGATATTCTCAGCCCATTCGTTGCGTGGGGCTGCTACATCGGCCGCGCATGCCGGTGGGGTATCCTTAGCGGATATCTTGCACCAAGCCGATTGGTCATCAGCATCTACCTTTCGGCGTTTCTATCTGTTGCCAGTGGACGCGAGCCCTGCACGGACAGCGGCAGATCAGTTCACGGCCACGGTTCTTCGACGGACTTAGCTATGTCCGGTTCCTGGACTATGAGTTGGATTTTGCAAATACTAACTCGCAAGTAGTCACGTTGTACATGTAATTCTGGACTCTTATCTAGTCTTGTTTTAGTGCATGACGACATGATGGGTTGTCAGCCCATTTTTCCTCTCTTTTGGCGTCTCTTGCCTGTACTCCCATTCGGTCTATTTCAGAGTCATAATATGACTCTGAAATAGACCGATTATGGTATTCTGACCTTGGACACTACATGTATAGTGGTTTTTCTAGCCAGGTACTTATTCCTGTTTTCCACTGGTATTGGCCTGCGGTGATGTATTGTTCGTCACCATTTCGCTTCACGTTGCTTGTGGGCGGTTTGTTACTGCGACAAATAGCTACAGTGTTACATGAAGCGGAGCCTCTGCAGTGCAATTGTGGATTATACAAGAAACCATAGGTTTTGATGTATAATCCCAATTATTGCATAAGGAGGTGAAGCGAAATGTAACACTGTAGTCCCTCCCGGCCCATCCCCACTGGGGCGTGCTCAGGATTTACAGAGCAGTTCAAACCGTATGGCCAATGGAGGCAGGCAGTGGCACAGGGGTTATCCAGGGCAGTGGTTGCTATGGTGTTTGGCGTTAAAAAATTCTGGTATTTCTAGCGGGTTTGCAGAGAAAACGAAGGGGCCAATACAGTGTTACATTTCGCTTCACCTCCTTATGCAATTAGGATTATACATCAAAGCTTATGGTTTCTTGTATAATCCACAATTATAGGGCTTGAAAGTGCTACGTCACAGCATAGCAACAATTTCAAAAATTCAAAAACTGGATCCACTTGGATCCAGTTTTTGTATGGATCCAAGCACATTTCAAGCGGTCTTACCCACAGCATGGTGATGTAGCCAGTGAAACTGACTGATTTGGCTACTGGGGGCGGGGTTACAACTGGTGGCGAAATAAAAGTCACACCTGCATGCGACATGAGTGGGTTGCTATGCACCCACATACTTAGGCAATAGCAAAGTAACACCTTAGCCGCTTATAGTGGATCCAAAAATAGAAATCTGATGTCAACTTACTACTCCCTGGCCGTTTTGACGTCATCACTTTCAAGCCCATTCCAGCCTTTTTGCATTGCCAGCCTATGAGTATGCCAGGCCTACAAGGAAGCTCACGTGATCCTGACGTAACAGATAGCTTGCACTTGACATCGATCGCGTCATTTCGAGCGTATCCGTTTTTTGCCGGTGCTAAAAACTGCACTCAGAATAAACAAAATTATTGCATTGTATTTTTATTTGTTTGTAAGGTACGCGATCGTACCGCACAGTATTTTTGTAACTATTACTTGTCCATGTCTGCAATTGCTAGTCTGAGCTGAATAGCAATATTCTCTGCCATTGGCATGTCACATTACCAGTGACGTGAGGGCATTGTGTGGGAGCGATTTGGTCATTTGCTGTCCGGCTGAAAACAGTGCAGCTAGCAGCGCAAAAGGCCGGAGTGAAACCTTTGAGGTACTGTACTTTGTTAAGTTCTTCAAGAGTCGACTGCGACATGGGGAGAGTTCGTCGCCTTCCCGAGGCCAACGGCCCTAATCCGTTCACGAACAAGATTGAATACACAACGTGGCGGAAAGTTAAATTGGTAGCTGGAGCGATTCTCCTGCTGCCTATTCGCCTGCTGCTCAATTTCGTGTTCATGTCCATCGTGTACACGTGCTCGCGATTCTCCAGCTGGGGCTGGACGCCCGGCACTCACCTGGTCTGGTGGCAGCGCATACTGATGACCGTGGTGGTGCCCAGCGTGGCGCGCGTGTGGCTGTTCTTGACGTTCGGCTACCACTGGATCCCGGTGAAGGGCCGGCGAGCGTCGGCCAAGGAGGCGCCCATTCACATCATGTCCCCGCACTCGAGCGTAATAGACAGCTGGATGATCTACCCGTACACGTTTGGCTCGCCGCTGTCGCGCAAGGAGAACAGCGGCGTGCCATTCATCTCGGCCGTTGCGTCCGCCTCCGAGCCGATCTGGGTGGACCGCAGCGCCAAGAAGAGCGGTAGCGCCGTCCAGGAGATGGTGCAGCGTATCAACTTGCCCGGATTCTGGCTGCCCATCGTCATCTTCCCGGAGGGCACGACGCACAACGCCAAGTCGGTGCTCAGCTTCAAGACGGGAGCGTTCAGTCCCGGCGTGCCCGTCCAACCCATCCTCTGGCGATACGACACGCCGGACGTCGGCGTCTGGGAGAGCTTCGGTCTGTCGCTGCCGTTCATCTTCTTCCACGTCATGTGCCAGTGGAACAACTCGTTTGAAGTCGAGTACCTGCCGGTGTACGTGCCCAGCGAGCAGGAGAAGCGCGACCCAGTCCTGTACGCCAACAACGTGCGCGCGGTGATTGCACGCGCGCTGGGTCGCCCGGTCACCGACTATGCGCTGGAGGACCTGCGCCTGTGCGAGATAGCTCACGCGGCCGGCCTGCACGAGGACAGCGGCCTGCTGGAGTACGGCCTCATCCATCGGCTGTTCGACGTGCGCCTGCCCGCGCTCAAGACCATGCTGGAGCGCTTCGTGCGCATGAACGCCAGCAAGAGCGGGCGAGTGAGCCGCGCCGAGTTCCTCGCCGCGCTGAGCTGGCCCGTCACGGAGCACGCCAATCTGCTGTTCGCCGAGTACGACACGTGCTCAGAAGACGGCACGCTGCGCTTCCGCGAGTACGTGGTGGGGACGCTGGACCTCGCGGAGAAGGTGCTCGAGAAACAGGCGCTGTGTCGCGCTGCGTTTGCCGCTCTCTCCGCCGGTCACGATGCCCTCTCCGTCGACAGTGTGCTGGGCGCCGCTCGCGAACGCGGTCTCGCCGCGCTCAGCACGCACCACGTGGAGGAATTCCTGCGGCGAGTATCGCGCGAGCACGCTCTCGACGAGGCCGGTTTCGAAGAGTACGTGGCGGCCAATCCCGACGTGAACGTCCTGCTCCAGTGGTTCATGCACGGCACGGACAGCATCTAGACTGAAGTGGATTGGATGCAGTGTTGGGTGCTGTGCCGTAGTGGCAGCATCAATCAATCCCTTGACTCGACCTCCTGCCAGCAGACACGGAGAGTCTGTGGGCATGCAGAATTCAGACTAGTCGCTGGAGACTCCTTGCGAAGTCGAGCGCGTGTGGAGTTCCTTTCTCCCTCCTACTGTCCGTGGTTGCTTCTAAACCGATCAAGCCGCACAGCTTTCGCTGCTGAGAATGTGAATCATGTCACAACGCACCCCCATCCCAATCGGTCAGACCCGGTATTGATGTGTCCTTGCGTTGAGGCGGTGTGTGTGTGTTTGTGCGTGTGCGTGCGTGTGTGTATGTGTGTGTGTGTGAGTGTGCATGTGTGTGTGTGTCTCGAAATAACCAACATGGTCTTTACAAGCACGCTCCAGTCCTGCCAATAAGCGCGTGTAGGCTGTGTCCATAGCACGCACGCATCCCCGCGAGTGGTCGCTCGTAGCGCTGTGCAGTCTGCATCGTGCTTTGTTTGCTGGCCGTGACTGCGCTGCACGTGTGTGTCCGTAGCCCTGAACTTCTTACTGGTCATGCCTATAGGCACCATCAGTGATGATGTGGTGTTTCGTCCCTGGAACGCCTACACCGAGTCATTTGTCTGGCGTATTTGTCACTTCTTAGCCAATTTTTACTACACTCCCCCTTTTTTAGAACTTCTTCTCGTCGAGGAGTTTCCTCTTCGTTTGCTAGTATAAGAGAGCACTGAAGATTTTTTTTTAACAAATCAGTTTTAAATCAATTTTAGTCTTGTTTTATGCCAGTCGTAGTTCGCACTATCCCTGCCTTCCGGAATTCCATTTTCAACTCTTTTTTTATGTTTCCGCAGGCGTTTACGCTAAAGCTACGTACACGAATCCAGTCATGTGAGTATTGTACGTATACGTGTATATCGTACTAGAACATCAAGCTTTCCGATTCTGCTGGTTTCTTCTTTAACCCTTTTTTTTTCTTTTAACCCATTTTCTTCCCTTTAACCCAATTTTCGTATCTGGAAAAGTATTTACTTGATCAATGAGTGTCAGGCGTGCGTCGTACTTTAGCATAATATCATGTGTTTCTGTGAGATAAATCTCAGATTACCCTACGAAACCGGTGCTTTGGTGTCCAAGTTCTGCTGATCGGTCACGTCTTTTGAAGAGTATTTACGTGCGTGCTCGTTTTGCTTGCAGTATACATGTATTGTGCGTGCCTATGAGTGACTGTCGCTGTGACCTCAGCTGTGTGTGTGTGTGTGTGTGCGTGCGTGCGTGTGTATGTGTGTGTGTGTTCATATGTGTGTGTGTGTGCGTGCGCGTGTCGATTGCTATACAATAATCATAGTCTTGTCTGCTCCCTCCCCCCCCCCCCCCCCCCCCCTCTCTCTGTCTCTCTCTGTCTCTCGCTCAATTTCCTATGAACACATTGAGTGGAGAGCGCTTGCTCTTACACAATCCACCATTCTCAGCTGGCAAGAGTGGGCCGGTTTGTGAGCAGGCTTTTCATTTCTCTATTATTAATTTTCTTATTGTCCGCAAACTCCAACACAGCCACTTGCACTTGTTGTTTCCCATGATTTCTGCCTTCATCTCACTACAAAGATTATAATTTTACTTCTTCCGCACAGACGTGCACACAGACAACCTACGGTGCGTTACAAAAGTAATAAGCAAACTGGTTTGTTAAGAAAAAATGTATGTTGCTGCTTGTTTTAAAATCATGCACCAGATATCTGGCATGAAAAAATCCATTGTAGAGCTAGGTCTCATGAGTGCAGTTCATATAAGCTCCGCCACGTGACTTTGAGTTCTCTTCCAACATGGGAGTACCATTCCTACACTGGGAGTGCTAACGTTATTCCAACATAGGACTGGGAGTACTATTTCTACACTCGGAGTACTATTCCTACAGTGGGAGTACTACTCCTACAGCAGAACACTATGCTTGTTTATAATGAACACGGCAGCCGTTCACACTTCTCAGCATTGCTGGAACAAAGACTTTATCAAAGCAACATTGACAAAAATCACAAAATTACTGGATTGTGTGTTGAATGTAGTGCATAGTTAAGTGTAGGCGAACTGTCGGCAAATGGCTTTTTCTTAGAAAAGAAGTTTAAAAAGTATGTAAGAGAAAGGTACTGGGTGTATGTGTGACTTGCCCACCCACAGGCGTACGTCAATGTAAAGTGATAGAACTGCTATACTCAATCTGCGGGCAGAACTGTTTCGTCTGGGCCTTTATGGACTCATCAGCGCGGCGCAGAGAAAATGAGGCAGAGACTGATAGCAATTTTATTATTAATGAAAAAAGACAGCCGCCATCGTAGGACGTGTTTGTAGTAGCCACTGAAGAAAAGAGAAGACGTTCGTACTTAGCACTGGTCTGTAGTGTCGTGTAGTGGAATGCAAAGGCTACCAGCTTTGTAATTGAAATCTGAAGTGCCACCGTGAGCCTTTTAGATCTCCCTTCCTCTTCACTGCCTAAAACGAGTTCCTTGTACTTGTTTCCCGGAGGTGAGCAAAGCACGAAGCGTTTTATTAATCTTGTCGTGTTGGAACTAGAAAGTGTTCATTTATTTGCAGAAAATGAAGGAAGTGGTCAGTCCTTGTTCCGAATTAATGCATGATTATCATGAGGAAATTCTGATTTGTGTAAATACTCAGTGCCTTTTTCAAAGGCAGACAACCAAACACCGTACGCGTAGACACTCTCAAACACGCACATATGCACACACACACACACACACACACACACACACACACACACATACACATACACACACACACACATACACACACACACACACACACACACATACACACACACACATACACACACACACACACACACACACACACACACACACACACACACACCTGCTCCAGAGCTCAGTTTACAGCCCACGAGTCTGCACTGTCCTGCATCCCAACAAGCATCAGCATGAAGTCGACGTCAGTCCGGTGTATGCTCAACTCAGCAAAACATCTGTTACTTTCTTCCAATCGAAACCATTATCGGCCACCGTCTTCTTTCCCTCGGATTGGCCAGTTGCCGGTATTGTGTCTTGGAGCAGCTTGTTGCATACTCCATTACCGTCTAGGAGGCCATCGTCCGCATCACCCACCTCTGCCATGGCTGGATCGGGCTCCCGCGCCAGGTTCTCCATGCACAGCTCGTAGACGTCGGTTTGCAGCTCGGACAGCTCCTTCTCCTGCGCGGTGTTGAGGCGCTGCAGTTCTCGGATCTGTGCAGGGCGAGATGGAGGGGACAACACATATACCCGGATGCTGCAAGATATTATAGCAGTTAATTATAGAGTGAAACGGTTCCATGATTTTCATGTGCGGGTACCCTAATGCCAACGTTGTTTCCCACGGGTTTCAATAAGAAGTATAATCAAGACTACAATGGATGCAGACATAACCAAACAACGTAAGGGGCCACTCGGCATTATCGATGATTTTGGAGCGAAAGCGTTTAGTTTCAATATGACTCCCAACCCCCCCCCCCCCCCCCCCCCCTTGAACGAATAATATAATATTATTGACTTGACAGCTAGAAAAATGGATGGATGATTCAGCTGTCAATATTTTCCAAAATGAAATTCTCCTTGATCCAGTCGCCCATACACAAAAACTGGTTGCTATTACCGTACTGGCAATATATGTTGCCGCGTAACGCGTAACGCAGGGGGGTGCGGCGTAACGCGCGACCAGGCTAGTGCGACAAATTTTCGTTGAGTTCGTAACGCGCGTCCGGCGGGGTGCGGCGATCTTTTCATTGCAAAAAAGGCTGAAAACTGTGAAAGCACGTGTACCGCGTGGTGAAAAGTTCAAAACTGGACGCAGCAGGAAGTCCTGCAATAGCAAAAAAAAAGGACTGCGGCAATATAGAAACCTGTGTAACGGCTCCTGTGCGACTTTGTATGTAACGCCCTGCGTGCGGCAAACATGTGCCAATGTAACGCTTCATGGCCTCACTGCGGCAACATATATTGCCAGTACGGTATTATATCAGGCTTGCACTTCACCCCCTCCCCCCCCCCTCTCCCCCTCCTCCCCCCCTCCTCCCCCCCTCCTCCCCCCTCCTCCCCCCCCCCTCTCCCCTCCCCCCCCCCTCCTCCCCCCCCTCCCCCCCCCTCCTCCCCCCCTCTCCCCTCCCCCCCCTCCCCCCCCCCCCACACACACACAAAACCTACCTTTTTTGTCTTCTGATCCAATGTTTGCATGACGAGCTTGAGCTTGACGTTTAGTAGCCGAGTCGCCGTGTTTGCTGTCTCGGCACCTTCTGCCGCTTTCGCCTGCGCTGCCTCCAATGCCTCAATATGCTGCTGTGCTAAATCAAGCTATGTACGGAGAGAGAGAGAGAGACACACAGAGAGAGAGAGAGAGAGAGAGAGACAGAGAGAGACAGAGAGAGAGAGAGAGACACACACACACACACACACACACGCACAGCACTTGTTTGTCATGGCCGAACGCAATAAACAACACCCCACTCATGTACATGTACCTTGAAGTCACAGCTTGTCCGTCCGTCGGCTGGTGTGTCCACCGTCACGACATCATCCTCTTCGTCATCGTCATCGTTGCCATGGTCACCATCACCCTGATTGGTGTGTTGCTGGTTCGTGGACAGCATATTCACCATGTCCACTTCCCTGAATTCACGTTCACACCAGACACATCAAATATTGTGCAACTTGTTATTTTCGGTGTACCTTAAAAATTTCGGAAATTTCGGTAGAGAACCTAGGCACCTAAATTTAACTTCAGTTACACCTACTATATTAAAAAGCCACTAGAGTATGCACTGCATGCGAAGGGAATGCTGGTCACCTAATTTTACATAACAGTTGAAACCTGGCAGGTCCACGACACCGACATTTTAGTACACCTAAACACGCACACACACACCATTGGACCATTGGACGCCCATCGCCGGAGGCGATGATAGCGATGCTACAGCAGAAGCCATAGCAGCTTGTGCTGGGATTGCACCATTCAACAGCTTGCAAGGCTGAAGAATTGACCACCACCATTCAGCCTGGTCTACACCACACAGCTATGAAGTGGCTTTTTTCTGGCGAGTGAATCCCTACTTTTTGGTCTTTTTTATCATTTTTTGTATTTTTTCCCGCACACACATCACACCACATACTCCGGCATGCACTGGCTGTTGGTAACCACCCAGGAGAATGAAAGAAATGTCAGGAAGAGTCTGAGAAAGAGAAGAAAGACGTGTGTGTGTGACCATAATCGTTGGGAATCGAACCCGCAACCTATCGATTGGAAATCGCTGCACATACCACTGCACCATATGGCACACACACACACACACACACACACATACACACACACACACACACACACACACACACCTACACACCTACACACACACACACACACACACACACACACACACACACACACACACGCATAAACAAACACGCACATACACGCACACACACACACACACACACACACACACACACACACACACACACACACCTTTCCTCCTTCCTTTCCTTCTTCCACTGCCATGACTGGCTATGTGGCCCCATACGGGGCAGACCAGGAGACGTGTTGTCCACCGGGCGGGGAACGCCATACTCAGCGCGCGCGGGCCGCGCGAACAGCGTTACACTTGTGCCTCGCAATGTCCTGCGGCCGACGAAAACTGCGCGCACAAGTGCCACAGATGAGGGGCTTCGCCACAGGCCCCATGCGGGACTGGACAATAGCGTCGACAGCATCACGGCAGGTGACTCGCCAT